TTGTTTACATCTATTTTAATCCATGAACTTTTTAATCTGTTGGTCTTTGAATTGTATTTTATTGTAGATGTAAACATCTGAATTTTAACTAAGTAACCTGTTGTATGTACAGGGGTTGCAGACACATTCATGTTATGGTGCATTATCCCTTGGACCGTATGATGTCAAGTAAATAAATGAAATGAGATGAACAACACACATAATTGTATCTGTATTTGTATTGAGGTGTTGTATTCAAACCATTTTGGTGCAATGTCAGGCTCTATTGGTGGAGGAATTGTGTCCAGTTATTATGGCTTATGTGTATGTGCAGGTGCATGATTACTTACATTGCAATAAATGGAGTAAACATCATTAGAGTACAATGATTATGCCTTGTACTGTAAATGATGAGTTTATATTGTGAAACAGACATCTAAACTGCAATATTAAATATGTAAATCATGTTCCAACATTTGAACAAAAATGTGTTTTGGAATGTCAACTGCTTGAATACACACACATTCTCTATTTGATTTTGATTGGGGTTTGGCTTTTATTAAGGGTTTGCATTTTCTGTTCATCTTTTAAAATGTTTCCCTTGTATGTCCTTGTCCTTTGCACTTGTACATTGCACACAATTTGTACTGCAGGCCCAAGAGATGCATTCTGCTATTTGATATGTAAACATTTTTTTATGTGCACTTTATTACACAACATGTTTTGTGTCTGTTATAGTTGCATTTAAATGTGTTGATGTTGCAAAATGTACACATTCATCAAACATTTAACAGGGTAGAGATCTAGCAAGTTTACATCTAGGGTCCTGTTAATTCCGATAACAAAAACAAGGAAATATTCTCTTCCGCTTATTTCATATTCTGGATGCTATCAGATACTCAGAGACCAGATGTTCCCGTCCTCAACACAAAAGACACAATATAATCAATCATTCAGAATAATGGATTGCAAAAGCTGATCTATGAGACGAATAAAGCAACTTTAAGTTGATACATAAAACATTCTGACACAGTGAATGTAAAAGCATCACTTAGGTTTTTATCTGAAGGTCTGAATTCACTAATGCTCCGTCTACACTATCAACTTTTACCTGTAATTTGAATTATAGGCATGATGATGTCATATCACACCCATATATGGGCATGATTAATATGTCATATCACACCCATATATGGGCATGATTAATATGTCATATCTCCCCCATATATTGGCATGATTAATATGACATATCTCCCCCATATATGGGGAAAATCACAGGTATTTACCAAAGAGAACTTAACAGTTGTCTCAGATTAATTTATACCTTGATAGCCAATATGGATAAATTGTTTAAACAGTGGGAAGAAAAAAAATTATCCCACTTACTTTCAAAAACATAAATATTAATCATTGCAGCAGCAGCAGCAATAACAATAATAATAATAATAATAACAATAATAATGTAATAATAATAATAACAATAATAATAATAATAATAATAATAATAATAATAATAATAATAATAATAATAATAATAATAATAATAACAAATAGTTATATAGCGCCAATTAAAATATTATCAAAGGTGCTGGGTAAGGAAATAAAGCAAGTTAATGTTAAGTTTAAATTAAAATTATATTCATTAAATTAATTAATTAATTTAATTAAGTTTGCATTAGTTTAGATTAAGTTTTATATTCAAATAGGGTATACTGAACACTACTCTCAACAAGTTAGAGAAAATGAAGTTGAATGAATTAAAAAAAGTAATTTAATTATTTGATAATTAACTGTACATTAGTCTGGATTTGCATGTATTTAACAGCATTTTTGTTGTCGTTGCTGCACTGTTAAATTGTCTTTGATGAAGTCCATTGTGTGAACAGAAGCTGGAGCTAAAAAATTTTATAGTTTGTCTTTAAAGTGCTGAGATTTGTCATGTCTTATATTGTTCTTTAGCAAACACGGCTACACCTATTATTCATCATATTAAATTGTAGAATGACTTGCTCTGTAAATCTTCATCTCTAACCTTGATCGAGGTGAATGACAAAACTATTATTGATTTTGTCCATTAAAAAAAAATTCAACCATGTTTTTCTTCATATTATTTACCTGCAAAACATCTTAACACTATTATTATTCACATAAAATAATGAATAAACAAAATGTGTACAATGATATATTAAGCATTAATCAGTTACATATAATAGTTAAACTAACAAGATAATCTAGTAGCTACAAGTCATGGGTGAAACAGTTGTATATCAAGACCGGGAGAAAGCAAAACTATCAAATTTTAACAAAAAAAGAAATAATAGAAACTAAACTTACAGTATCTGTTAGACTGCAGCCAGAAAGGTCAAGAGAAATCATGGAGAACATGTTTCCAAGCATCTCACCCCCTGCGTCTGTCACATGCTCACAGAAACAAAAAGCACCGTACACCAAGCTGTAACACCTTGATGAAAACAAATGCAAAAACACAAAAAATTAACCACCTGTGTACTGTACAGCAGCTGGATTTAAACAAATGCAAAACAGTAAAATTAACCATTTGTGCACTGTACACCAAGATGTAAGACCTGAATAAAAGACAAAGGAAAAATATAAAAAAAATTACCACTGTGCACTGAACACCAAGCTGTAACACCTGGATGAAAACAAATGCAAAATAGAAAAATCTTGTGCACACTGTACACCAAAATAAAACACCTGGAAAAAATACAAATGCAAAAAAAAAACAAACCAAAAAACCAGAAAAAATTAACCACCTGTGCTATAAGCTATAACACTTGGTTGAAGACAAAAGAAAAACAGAAAACTTAACCTCCTGTGCAGGGTACATTAAGCTATAACACCCGGAAAAAAGACAAATGCAAAACAGAAAAATTATAACCACATGTGCACTGTACACCAACCTATAACACCTGGATGAAAACAATATTGCAAAAAAACAGAATGTTTGGGCACATGAGAATGATCTTTTACCAAGGTTCTTGAATCTCCATCTTCAACTTTGCTAAAAAATCTGGGAAGTTGAGGTGTGGATTTAGTTTAGGTTTAATAATAATATTAATGTTAGTCTTATAGAGCGCATAATGCAAAACAATGCTTCTAAGCACTTTCCACATAAAAGAACTTGAAAAAAAACGAATGACTCCATAAAATATCCTAACAGTAACCAAAAAAGAAAATAAATGCAGAGGAACCCTTTTCACCGCTCCGTTTCCATAGCACTTAATTATTAACCCATAATTGAGAGCTCGCTGGAACAGAACACACAGGAGCTCAAGTGAAAGTTTAAGATGTATTTTGGGGCAAAGAAATTGAGTGCCTACTGGCCCTGTTACACTTTGACGATTTAGTCAGCATATGCCAAACGTATCAAAATTGCTCTAAAAAGCTGACATACGCCGAACTATCGATGCTTTTTTTCAACTTTTCATAGCGTATCCATAACATATTGGACGTATAAATAACGTATTAGTAAATTATATAGAACGTTTTGATTACTTATAGAAAACTTACACGAACGAATGCTTAGTGTGTTGCTGGCGTTCACAACTTATGCACAGCACGCGGCAGCGTATCGCCGATGATTACGTGACGTAGCCTATAAAAAGGCTGCCACTCGTCGATTCAAATCATAACTGCACTAGACATCGCAGTATCAACATCAACGTATTGACATCACCCAATTTGAATATACCTATTCCCCTAAACACTGCCAATACGCCATTTATACGATGACTGCAAGTTAGAAACACGTTCAGAAATTTTTGTGGTCATCTGGAACTCGTTAAATATGTCTACATACGTCAATATACGTTGGAGATAAGTTTGTTATAAGTTACATATAAGTTCGAAGCATGTTACTCATAGGTTAGAAATACGTTTTGACTTGCAAGTAACGATCGGTTAACTTACCTACAACTTATGGCCCACATATGCGGAACGTACGAGCTATACGCTGACATACGTCAAAAAGTTTTTTGTGTGCACAAAACTTTTTGACGTACTCGCCATACTAGGACATATACCAGCGTGCTTCAGCGTGCTCTTAACTTATACGAAACTTACCAATAACTTATTCGACGTATGCCAGTGTATTCGCCATTTTTTTCATACGTTGGCATACGCTGTCTAAATCGTCAAGGTGTGACAGGGCCATTATAAATTGATATAAATTATCATAGGCGAATGAATAATTCTGAGAAAAGGAGTGATATATTTTGGCTTTCTTTAATAATCAGTACAATCCCTGCAGCTGAGTTCTGAACAAGCTGAAGGCGATGAATTGCCCCCTTAATTTCAAATTTCTGAATCTTTCAGTGCCACCAATCATAAGATAACCTATCGCCAGTCTTAAAGAGTAAACAGAGTACACAACCATTAGGGATTGAAGCTGGTGATCATTCATATTCAAGCCCACCTGGTATCCACTGAAATATACTCCCAAGTGGAGAGAACCAACCACAGACACAAGAAAAAGCCAAGCAAGAGGTCCTAATCACAAACCTGAAGATTGAGATCTAAAATTACAACTACTGTGCCAACTGCCCCTATAATACTGTAGAGTGTTCTTTAATGAACTCATATTAAATATAATATACATTGCTTCCATTGCATTCCATAAAAATAGCTTTCAAAGAAAAGAAATTAAATTATTTAGAAGAAACCATAAAACTGACATGTCTAGACCATTAAATTGCTTTAATACACAAAGTAATCATGTGTAGTACTCACTTTTGCATAATTTTCATTATTGATATGTCACTGACACGGACACAGTTTGTGAAATTCATCTCACGGATCTTTGGTCCCGACGGACCTTCTACAAGGACTCGTACTCCATTATCACTAATTCTACAACAAAATAATACAAATATTATTTAATAAAAATGTTATAAAAACTGTTCTTTAAACAATAACAAACATCGCAAGTGCACAAGTTATTTGATAAAATGATGATCTATCCATAACTAATATGTTAATTGAATATTATAATAACCAATAAAACTAGCAAATATATTATCAATATAATTGCCTATAATAAAACTCAATAAACTATAAATATTTGTATAAAAATTTTAAAAATATGCAATTAATACATACACTATTAAATTTAATTATCATTAAAAATCAACACAATATAAACAGCTATAGATAAGCAAGAAATTTGGTTCATTTCATTATGTTAACCAATACTTGAAAGATAATTAAAGGTATTATTATGTATTCATTACAAAAATCACCCAGAAATTACCAATAATACATCTAATAATTAGCAATTAACAGTTAGCAATTTTTCACATTTTCAATGTCAAAGTCTGTATTCAATAGAAACTAATAGTTGTACCTATTCTAAAACAAAACATCAGATTTTCATTAGTTAATTATTTTCTAAATTATAGTTAATTTTTCAAAAAAGCAATGAGAAATTATTTAACTTCATCCCCTTTAAATTAGAATTAGCTAATCTTCAAATTCACAATTTCAGAGAAACAGAGTTGAATGGTTTTCTTTTAAAGGCTGTAATGAATCTTGAGTAGAGTGAATAAATTGTCTCTATTTTCCATCAAGTCTAATGTCTATCTGACTTTTGAAGATGTGACATTTAACTCTTCTCTAATAATGGGTGACATCTCTGTCAAGCAATCAGTGCTGTCATCTATAATCAGGGTGGCTCCAGCAGGGGCCAAGGGGACCAGGTCTGACGTCGGGAACAGCTGACCACCACCCCCCATCGGGGAGAAAAACCACAACTTGTCGAGGAGAAAACAAATGTATATGTATTTTCTACATATTAGTAGACTGTAAAATCGATTAAATAAGCCCTTGAATCCCTAAATTTTCAACAATTTGAGAGATTTTGAGCGATGGCCGACCAAGCCCACTTTGTTGTTCGGGCAAATCCTGGTGCCACCATTGATCATAATCACTACACAATATGTAAGCTGGAATTCATGTATGTAGGTGTAGGTACGGAACCAGTACTGTTAAAACCATCAACCACAAGTCCCTTGCCACAAGTTCGGGATAGGGAGTTCCATACTGATGTTTGTTGCTTTGCTTTTGTCCTATAGGCAAAATACTTTACCTACGATTGCCTCTCTCGACCCAAGATTACAAATGTGTACCTGGTAGAGGTTCAAAACAACTGCGCTGATTACTAGCTGCAATATTATGCAATTCTCCCCTGGGAGCTGAGTATGTGTTCCATACGTGTTTGATGCAATGACTGGGGTTATAATAGAGAGATTTCGCAACCTTACGAAAACGATAACGAATACGTTATAATTGGTATCGTCCTTCGTGACAAATATGGTGAATGAATTATGCTTGGTCCTCCTCAAATTTGGTGCTGATCAGAAGATGCAGATTTTAGAATGTTATTTATATATTTTCTGGCCACAACTGACAGAGCTAACTCAAGCAGATCGTTCGACCGAGTCGTTTGGCTAGGCTGAGCTAACTCAAGCGGAATGACCATGTGTCTAATTCTGGCCGGCAGACTGTAAGCGGTCTGGAGAGTATTCAAACTTGCCCGATTGATGGGCACGAGATGCCTATGATGCCTATGATGCTAGGCCTCGTTTTGTGGATGGATCAGATTGACAGCGGGCCATTATTTTTTTCAGTACATATATTCCTTCCATTTAAGGTACTGTTTATGTTATGTATTATGATGGTAAAAACAATAAACTTGGAACTACAAACACTCTTCACCTTCAACCTATAAAATTTACGAAATTTATATAGATCTTCAAAGAGTTGGCTTCTATAGCGCAAATAGAAGCAAATTTGTCTAACTTAGAATCTCTGAAAACCCAAAGCCATACCTCATATATGTAATGCAATGCAAAAAATAAAAAGGTAAGGTATATAGGACAGGTAATTAGAAGTTTGCAGACTAGGCTAGTCCATTAAGAGAATTGCAGTCTGTGTCTTTAAATTTTGACACCTGCAGCTAACCGCTATAATAAGGTTTATAACAATGTCTAGAAGTGCGGGGGAGGAAAATGTCTGAAATATAATGGATTAACAACAGGTAAGTGTCAAAATCATTATATGTTTTCTATGTTCATGAAAGGGAAAACTTAAACCAGGTCAGAGTATGCACTGGGGTACGATGAGAAGCTATACACTGATTAATGATTCTGATTGTCTTTTTCACGACTCTTCTCAATATCATGGAGCAGAGCACTCGTCTATTACTGGTACAATTAACTGTAGACACTCATTGACACTGAAATCGGTTACACACCAAATATATCTGACCCCTGATGGCACTGCCAATGAGAAAGAGTGTATTCTCATCCATGGCCGCAAACAATACCCTTATCTCTCTCTTGCCAATAATTTATCTCCTCTGCAGGAGGATCAACAGTCACTATGTCAATCATTCACATATCATTTATCTTTTCAAGATGGTTGTATCCTACAGTAGTTAATTAAGAAGGGAAAGTATAATACAAACAGGCCCCACCCTTCTATTCAGACCGTGAATCTTAGTTTTTGTATAGCTTTTCACTGGTAGGCTCAGCCTTTATTTAGTTTTTAACCAATCAGCAGCAAGTCTCATCACTCAAACATATAAGTATTTCCATGTTTGAGATCTCTGCAGATATTATTCTCCTGAAGACGGTTGAAGCAAGTCAACCGAAACGTCGAGATATTCTCAACCAACAACAACAGTTCTTTTTAGAACTATCTACGTGGTATACCGCAAGCATTAATTATATAAAATAATTACCATACTCACCCTCTGTATTATTTATAGGATACTTTGGTTCCAATTTCACTTTTCATCTTTTGCTTTGTTGAGGCGTAATATGTCCGTCATTGTAGACCATTACAGTACTCCTGTTTACTTTATGTACTGTATGTTTGGTTATTATCGGATGGTTCTATGTAAAGCTTGTGTACATTGTGCGAGTAATGAATATTCATGATAGTATTAGAACCTATCAAAACATCATCACTACCTCGCATTTCATTGCCTAGACAGGACAATCACATTACAAAATAATGTTTCATAAGAAATAAAACATTAATCCTGTTTCCAGATAGTGTTAAAAAAAAAAAAAAATTTTTAGATTTTGTTTTACTTTTGCTAATGCTCTGTTCCCCCATTCATCTTTCTGATTTAACTCCGGTTCTTCCATCCTTGATTTTTCTGCGTCACTGACTTGTCTGAGTACCGGGTTTACTACTACTACTCTACTGCATGCAGTTTGGTTGCTGGCTAGGAGTTTTTTTTTTGCTTGTTTTTGTATTACTGTTCAATTTTTTTTTCACTATGGGGACCCTAATATTTTGCATGGTGTAAATGTATAACCTTTAACCTTTAACCTTTTTAATTTGTGTCACCATTGTTTTTGCTTTATCACAATATCTTTCATTTCTCCCTCGTGTTTGTCATGTTGGTAAAACGGTGAATTTTTATTTTTCTTCTTGTATTTTCTTAAGTGTATCTTTCACCCGCATTTCTTGTCTCACTTATGTTTACTCCTTTGTTAGTTCTTCTACATTCTCTTCATTGTAGTTTGTGCACCACTCCTCTCTGTGTGCAGGTGATGACCTAGCCTAGCTTCTTTCCACTTGGCACACATTTTTGTTCAATTGGATTTGATCCTCACAGTCATGCTCCTAATGCTGGCTTACTGCACTTTTGATCACTTTGGTTTTTAGTTTACCTTCCTTCAATACCTCATTTCCTATTAGCTGCTTAGGGTCGTGTCTAAAAACACTGCGATGAGATTGGAAACAAGAAATATACACAAGAGACACAAACAGATTAGACATCATTAGGAGAGACCAAGAGGGGAAACCCTTAGTGAGGTCAAAGAAGTGGAATAGAGAAAAGAATGAAAAGAGAATATAGTACACAAAGGAGAATGAATAATAATTTTTACATTTACCACCACTGATATTAATACAATTACTGTATTGGAATGGCTATGTAAAAAACAGTAACCATGAATCTACAATGTCAATAATATCCCAAATAAAGCTCAACACTCTAATAACAACATGCAAATATTGTCCAATTTGATCAATATATTTAAGGGACAAGAGTGTATACAACAAAACAATGTTATACTCATGACTCTTGTCAACTACAAATTCATGAATTAAAAAACTGAACTTTTCATAATCTAGATCGTCATGTCCTTGAAACTAGATTTTCTTGAGACCTTTTATACAGTATAATAACATTGATGATCTTAATTACGTTGACATTTAGGTATGTTCATTCATTATTCTTGAGTCCTCATTTGCAATTTGGCTCCCAGGGGTTCCATCTACAAACAATGCGATGAGATGGAAAACGAGAAATACACTCAGGAGTAAAAAAGAAATTAGAAATCATTAGGAGAAACAAAGAGGGGGAAACCCCTTTAGTATAAGTTGAACTGGAAGAAGCAGGGAATATAGAGAAAGCAAGTAAGAGATGGTACACACGACAATGTTTGTATATCCAAAACAATGTTGGTGTCAAAATACAGCATTTTAATAGACTCAATGGAAAAAACTGAAATTTTAGTGATGCTTTCCAAAATATAGCGTTTGAACGGGACCTAAGGGGTTAGTAGCAGGCGGCTTTAGATGAAAAGGCAGAACTAAACTTCATGGATCATCATAAAATTTAGTGGAATGGTACATAACAATCGAAGTAAGACACCATTCAATATTTGGAAGTATAGGTCAAAGGACAAGGTCAGGGTTACAAATATTAAATTCTTTACCCTCAAGCATAAATAGATAATGGAACTACCCCACATATTCAGGGCACCACTCAAAGAAGTTATGTGCCTGAATACAACAGGTGATTCCATCATTTCCCTGAAGGTATTCTGTAGCACTAAAGAAAATAAGGTGCCAGGATACGACTGGTAATTTCATTACTTCATTGAGGGTATGCTGCAGTTTCACCCAATATACACGACCTGTGTATTGTTGGTATTGTATTCAGGTACAGGGTGGAGGTATGCAATCTATCAAGTGACTACTCTAGTATTTAGGATTTAAATGTAGTTTTCAAATGTTATTTGTCTTTATAGAGTATTTATAGACCCACACATCTAGTTCTAAGGCTTGAATTCAGATTCTAACCTTCATTCTGTGGCCAAGAGGTAGTTGCACCAATGGGCAGCAGTATAAAAAGATGGAGACACTTTAGATTGAGAAAGTTTGTAGAAATGTGTCAGTCCAAGCGGTTTGTAACCGCAAAAAAGAAACCACTATATTTAATACTCATAAAATTCAACATTCACTGACTGGTGAATATTGGTTTATCGAAACTCGAGCGAAGTTCATTTTGATTAGACTATAGGTGTTTATGAGTTCAGTGAAGAAAGATGGTGATTATGAAGCATTAACAAATATGACAGGCAGTGTTCTGAATTTGATACTTTCCAATGAAACTGTAGAAGAAGGTGGTGACATGACCACATTTCTTCACGATATAAAGTAGCTTAGTCGCTCTGTATGGAGGCGCCGAAGACGTTTAACGTCTTTGCTGGATGAGCCCTTAAGTGTTGAGGTGAGGTGTGATGCTAAGACCGTTCAATAACCTGGACAACTTACATTTAATAGAAAGAAAAAAACAAACCACCAACCTGATGCAGTCTGCAAAATTGACAATGTTGATGTTGCGACATGTGGCGATGGATTTGAGACTCGCATCCGTGAGCCGCGGACAGTCCACCAAGTAAACATGATGGAGGTCATTACACCATCGGCCTATATACTTTAACGAAGCGTCAGTAATCTTGTTATTACCTGTTCAAAGAAATGTCATACGAGTTTAAAATGGTGTATAGATATGATAAATTTTTTTCCCATTTTCATTTCTTTATTTGGCAAATAAAAAAATGAAAAACATACAAATTAGAAATGGAAGCATAAGTTACATTTGACCCAAAAAAGGTACAACAGATGGCCTAGATACCCATGAAAGTTGCCTGATGGCAACATGCTTCCAACAAGACTCCACAAACCTTTACATTATACTGTAATAATAATGATAACAATATTAAAATATTTGAAATTAAAAAAATAATAATTATAATACAAAGATAATAATAAAAATATTTATTTTTTTTGACCTATGACTTACTGAAAGTTGATAACCTCAATGGCTCCTTTAAAAGAGCAATTTAAAACTCTTTAATTTTTGAGGTTTTTTTACCTAGAATTTGATTGGCAGCACAATAATAATAATAATGACATCTTATAAGGTGTATGTATCAATCTCAGAGAGCTGCTCGTGGCACCATTTCCACCTGCAAAGAGCAGCAGCCTTTTCTGCATAGTTTAGTATTATTATTATTATTATTATCATTATTATTATTAATCTTATTATTATTATTTTAACATATTAATTTTTAATTTTCAAATATTTTTTATATGATTACATGGCTTTAAAGGTTAAGTTTTTAATTTTTTTTATTTAAGTCTATTATAGTTTAATATCTTTAAAGATAAAAGAAAACATATATTGCTGTACTCTGCATGTGTACGATATTCGTTAACCTTTTTCTTTTCCTTTTTTAGGTATGTCGGCCAAGGATTGCCAACAGCATATTTCACTGTTCCACTCATAGGTGACAAACTCTTTCACAAGACAGGCATGAAAGATGCTAAGTCTCATTATGGAGCTGTAGTGGTCATGAGAGAAACTCCTACTAACAAGATCTGAACCCGGGACATGGGGTGGGAAAGCACACATTTTAGATTGCAGGCACACATTGCAATGATGATCATCGGCTTAAGCACTTCCACGGAAAATGTAAAGCATTGAGGTGCGCACATCACGACATATAATTTTTAATGACCCCCTCAGTCTGCCATGAACAATCAGCAGCAGTTTCGCGTCATCACAATGAACACAAAGATTGGAGGTGGATTCATCAACCACTTGCTTCTCTCATACAACTTATTTATCTGTGAACATGAGTCATTGAGATATGGTGTAATTATAGAAAATCTTGTAGATTGGTATCTTCATTGCAGTATAACATATATTCTATATTATTTCATATTTAAAAACCTACACTCAATATTTTACACTCATACTTCATTGCAGTATAATATATATTCTATATTCTTTCATATTTCAAAACCTAAACTCAATTTTTTATACTGACTCAGAAAAGCCGTAAAATAAAAGATTCTGTTTCACTCGCATGTCACAGGATCTATAAAAATGTCTATTGTATCTGTCCACTTGCAATACAGACAATAAGCAGTGAAGGTTGTTGAAAGGACAAAGCATATACATTAAAACAAGAAATGCAATTAGAATTTAAAAAACAGATAAATCTAGAATGAACAAAAAAAATCAGTCAAGATATAGCATTAAGGACAAACCATCTGAGATTTTAATACTTAATCGTACATAATTAAATCAGTCGTGAACACGCAACACAGACTCATCCCGTTGGAGAAGCGCCATAATTCTTCGCCATCAATTATTAACATTTTACATGATGAATGTCTTCTTGAAAGCTTTGATTCATTTTTCCTATAAATCTGTCGTTTAATAATCATAACAGTTCAAGGCATTGTCAACATATAATTCATCAAATAATTTACTAATTATCACTTGGTTCAGGTGCACTAATTTGCATGTAATTCTTCTACGACATGCTTCTAAGAGTCATCAACCTTCCTGACTATTAATGTCATTCCCCTACTATCAGGAATTTGCAGGAATTGCTTCAAAAATATTTTTTTGCCAAAGAAGAGGTAAGGTGGAATTTTAGCCAGAATTAATCTCTATCTAAACAATTCCACCCTCTTTTAGAGATTCTTTTGCTACTGCCAGAACCCACCCCACCCTACCCTCCGGATCTGCAGCTGATTTTAAAGGAGATGTGTCTGGTCATGGAGTTATGAAATAACATGTTATACCTCCATGGTCTGGTGTTGCCTCCACCATTCTTTCTCTATTCTATCTGCCATTATCTGCATGGAACAGGATATACCACAATCAACCCCGAGTACATTTGAATGGTGGAGAAGACTGTCTTGTCATCAAAAACGATCCATTGTGCGCGCATCACGCCATTGCGTTCTCCATAGAATTGCATCGGCCGACGACCGTATTTGTGTGTAGAGCAGTGTCTCTAGTCAGCTAAATGGGTGTTGCGCAGCTGAATCACAGAGATCTTAGAATCTGGTTCAATTCCTTCATTTTCTTTGTGTTTCAGCTGAAAAATACATGTGATGGATTTTCTTCCGGTCCAATAAAACTAATTTTACCAGAAAACTCATTTTACATTCAAATTCCTCTCGTCTTATCTTCCTTCAATGTAGAAGAATATAAAAGTACGCCCTCTCTCCCATATCAGATAGACAGGAATTATAATTGGCTTAACCATTAAACCACAAACTCCAGTGTAGTCACAGAGCAGAAAATTAATTATTTTGATTGCTCTGCTGATAAATGTTCATAGGATCTCTAATCTACTTTCAGTTGGAATGCCATTAAAATTTGTAATTGCGACTGTATCTAGACTCACAATTATTAAAATGCTAAATGAAATAAAAATGCGTATTGAAAAATTGTGTATGGTTTTCATGACCGCAAGCATGAATATTCCTGTGTTAATATACCATGGGCCATCCATCAAAAATTAATTTGAATTTTAAAGATGGTGGCCTTCCATTCCCAAGATCCTTCGTTCAAATCCTTCTCAATTTCTCAAGTCAAAGAATAAAAAACATCATGTACTCAATTTAAAGGGCATTAATACATTTTGTTAATACTTTACTATATGATGCAGCTGGACCAATCAATAAAATACTGTAGAAGAGGTAAGTATTGTTGATGATAAATACATATCCTTTAAAAAACTGGTGAAAGTTAAATCGATTAGAGTTTACAAACTTTATAATAAGCGTTAATGTTCATAGTTTCAAAACTAATTTAACCTAGGTCTCAATGGAGTAATTATTGCTTTAATTAATCTCAGACTATTCTTAAATCAAAATAAACTCCTTGCTGTAATAATAGGTAGTTTTCGCCGCACGACGTTAACCTTAAAGATAACGGATGACGTCATAATTTATTCAGCTTGCATTGTGGAGTACAATAATTTCAGGATTTTACGTGCTTTTACGGGTTTGCGCATGCATATTTTGATTTGTTTACAAAAGGGGCGGAGTTATCCCGCTGCATGTTGGGTACTAATGTTAAAGTTAAGGTTAACGTCGTGCGGCGAAAACTACCTACTATTGGCGCTGGAGTAGGCCAAAATTGATATTCATAGCGGTTACTCTTCCAGTACTGTTATGGATACTGAAGTCTGAGACTAAGTGATTTTTTTTTTTAATATATATTTTTGTATTCATATTTGTATTTTTGTTTGCAAATTTCAAAGTAAAGAAATTTAATAATGTTAATTACTGTACTTGTAAAAATAGAGATATGTATAATATATGGGAAAATGTAATGTACAGTAATAAAAAAATAACCAGTAAAATATTATACCGTAAAGCCTCGATTTGAAGCCCTGGGCTTCTTATTTTTGCGAACTTCAGATAGGCTTCTTTTCAAGGCTACTTTTGCAAACTAAAGAGGGGACTCGAGATGGGCTTCTTCTAGATTACACCCATTGGGCTTCTATTCAAGGTTTTACGGTATGTGTATATTCAGTATCTGAATTATAGGAATATGCTCCCTCTTGGAACAGGCTAGGCCTAGTCCTGTGGCAACTCATTGGACTAGAAGAAGGGAAAAACAATTTATTCTCCACAAAAATAGATACAATACATGTTAAAACACCTCAAAACAACATAAAAATAACCCAACATTGCCCCAGCTTTACTACATGCCAAGACGCATAGTACTTTGGGCCCTCATCAAGACTTCCTCCTAAACTCCATTGGAAATGGGCAGATCCCCTGTCAGACAGATATCACCCGTCAGGCAAATTTTTACACCACCGCTGCGAGACACAAATTTAGTTGAGCACCTTCAAGCTTTGAGTCTGAGCTGCAATCACTGTGTCAAAGTACTGTACTCCCATATATTTCAACAATGTTTTCAAAATCTTTTACCAAACAACAATGACCTAAATCATTAGATATGTTAAATTAGGTCAGGTTAAAAATTTATGGGGCAAAGAAAATGTATGTATGTGTGCTGTGAATTCAGTTGCAAAACCAAATTGGCAAGGGTTTTGTATCTAAATCTAATAATAGGCCAGCATACTATGAAAAATATTTAGTCGATAAAGAAACCCAGACAACATCCTGAAACTGAAGATTAGCGATGCTTCTGATTTAGGAAAAGCTATCAAGTATTGATTTGCAAGAACATTAGAGGATCAATGAATTCTGAAATGACAGGATAAAGGGCAGTGAGTTAAGCACTTGACTACGAGTTGCTGAGCTCGTGAGAGGAATTCAGATCAACAGCCATGAATAAACATAGAATTCAGACACATAAAGTTCTGTCTATGGCCAGTAGAAGGTTCACAGTGAACCTTCTACTCATCGTTATCTTGCATCCTCATTATCATTGTTGTCATCTCATCGATCATCATCATCTCATCATTAATATCTTATTGATCATGAAATCATCATTATCATCATCACCATTGCCACTGTCATCATCATTAATGTCCTTATCATCAACAGCATCATCATTATTATTGTAACCTCACATCATCATTAGGCCTAAAAAAATACATTGTTTGTTTGCCCTTTAATGCTGAAAATTGTATAGGAAGGGGTGGGTGCAAAAAAGTTTTTTTTTTTCTAGTTTTTTTTTT